TCCTCAGACCCTCCCCACCCCTTGGAAATTCCAATCCCTCTCTGTGTGGGAGGTATGGATATTTTCACAATATAGCCTCCTCAGACCCTCCCCACCCCTTGGAAATTCCAATCCCCCTCTGTGGCGAAGGTATGGATATTTTCTGGAACTACACAATATACCCTCCTCAGACCCTCCCCACCCCTTGGAAATTCCAGTCCCCCTCTGTGGGGGAGGTATGGATATTTTCTGGAACTACAAAATATATCCTCCTCACCCCTTGGAAACTCCAATCCACCTTTGTGAGGGAGTTTTGAATGTTTTCTGAAACTATACAATTCATTAAAAATTCAAACCCCCCTCTATTGGAAAGCTGTGGATATTATCTGGAATTATATAATATATATCCTTCACAGACTCTCCCCATCCCCTTAAAAACTCCATCTCCCCCTCTGTGGGGGAAGTATGGATATATTCTTGAACTACGGAATCRACATAATTTCAATATAAACAGTGAATATACCTGTCCTGCTGCAACTCCACAAGCRCCTGCAGCACCACTCACAATAACAGTCTGATTACTACCTGCCACTAGGTGGCCTTTAACTTGTATCCCAACAAGAGAAGTTAGTCCAGTCAATCCACACAGTCCTAGAGCAAGTGAGGGTTTCTCTTTGATAAGTTGGTGTTCAACCTATGATTTAAATCAAGAGTTTTACATTGAATGTGATTGTAAAAACTACTTGGTGCATGGCCTATAGATGGTAAAGATCATGAAAGTGATGACGATGGTCATGATGATCATAGCTATGATGATGATGGTAATGGTAGTGATGATGATGGTCATAATGATCAGTGGTGATGATAATGATCATAGTGATGATGATGATGGTCATGATGATGATGATAATGGTAGTGGTGATGGTCATAATGATCCTAGTGATGATGATGATGGTCATGATGATGATGGGCAGGATGATGATGATGACTGTGATGTAGTCATGAGGGTGTCAAATCATCTCTTAGTGTGATAAAACCCTTCACCATGGCATACTTGATCTCAAAGAATAAAATTTCCCTTGACATCAACTTCAAAATTTCAATTATCTGAAGTCAAAAGCTTACGTGATGCTATGATTGGGTAGAACTGAGCAATCATTTGATGTCCTCCAAGGAAAATATATTAGGTTTCAATGACTTTTTTATCCTAATGTTTAGTATGCATGCTTTCAGATAATGTACATCCTACCTCTTGAAGTTGTGTGATAACCTAATGTTGAGTGAATTGAACTGCTGGCATAAATTAAAAGGGACAAGTGTTCAAGGCCTTGGTACTTAACCAAGCTTTTCTTCAGTCAGGTATGTAAATGTTTTTCAAAGAAAGATGTGGAGGTACTTCTGACATAGTATTTTTGTTTTCTTGTGCCTTTGTTGTTACTGTATGTATAATGAAAACAAAGGCACAGAAAACAATGTCCCATTCTCCGGGTGCATGTGACGTGATAGCCACCATTTTGGTTGATTTTGACAAATTATTTGGTCCTGGTGTATTTTGTCATTTCATTCAACATGGTGGCCATGTGCTACCAATTGTTTATTGCAATTGCAAGTTTCTGCACCGATCATTCAGACACATAGACTCAACTGAGAAACATAAAAGACGAATAAAATATAAATATGTAAATCAAGCTATTCAAATCGCTTGCAACACATTAAAATCAAATTGTAGCTTGCCAGGACCTGGTAGCATGCATTAAAACCGTTGCTGGTTGCTTCCCGTCCTAGTGGGGAACGCCTCCATGTAGGCTGGGCTATATACCTTTTGCAGCTGTTCATCTTCGGCGTTCAACAATGCATAGTTCTGCCATGGCCACTTGAAAGACTTTACCATATCCCCTTTTTTATATTTCTCGTTTTTACTCTCCACTACTACTCCTACTCCTCCGCCAGTGGGTGCTTTACCTAAGTCCCACTTTGTAATGTACGATTTGGCATTCGGATCTTCATCGTTCATACGACTTCGCATGTAAGGATCGACCGATAGATACAAGGTTTTAGCTATGATTTCACCATCTTTGCATGTTATGGGTTCTGCTTTCTCATAGGCAAAGTTTTCTACAGAAGGAGGATTAGTTTTTCCTGGACGGCTTTTAAATACAACACGATACACTTCCTCCGCCATTTTTTTCTAATGTAAACAATGGTTAGCATCCACACGCTACAAAAGGACGGCCGATTAATATGCATTTTGTCAAATGATTAGCATATTTTGATTCGAATCAGGTCCCTCACGGTCCTATATGATGATAACAACCAGGGAACCCGCAACTTCGTGGTTCAATATATGATATGTACTGATCGATACTCTTGTGTTTTCATGTTCATTTCTTCATCAAATATAAAAGGATAAATACTTCGGGCAACTAAATGGCGTAAAAGAAATGGAATTAATGGAATCGACTGAAATTTTCCTTCGAAAATCATGTGTCCTTGTGAGTGATGTAATCTTCGCAACCTCGCTATCTCGTACTCCTTCACACGCTTTAGAGAGACACCTTCGAAAACCATAAGTGTGCTTTCGAGCATCTGGCGTAGCCAGGATTTTGAYTTGGGAAGGGGGACCGTCCGTAAGTCGCGTGAATCATGCGATTACTTAGATGTTTGGGTTTCTACAGCGTGAAGATGGGTGCAGTACTCCCTTGCACCCCTCTGGCTAAGCCCCWGGACTATAATTGTCATATGATGGTGATTATTGCTATCATCATAATCATCCATTGTCATTCGCACTCATTCGCATTCTTATCATTGTCATATATTGAAGATCAGTGCGCGCATTAGTCAGTTAGGAGCTACCTGGGGCTGGAAAGAAGTTATGTTTTTCTTTCCCAGGAAACCTAACTATCGATCTTAATATGCTCATGGTGAAAAGCCAATGAAAAGCCATAAACTGACGCTATACTATCCATTCACGATCAGCCTTAGGGACTGTTCATTAATTATGCCTTGGGGGGGGGGGG